CCCCCCGCAGCTGGGCTGTGCTCATGGCTTTTGCTTTCCTCGGCAGAGAACTTCCGTGCGTTGAGCACCGGTGAGAAGGGATTTGGCTACAAGGGCTCCTGCTTCCACCGGATCATCCCTGGCTTCATGTGTCAGGTGTGTGGCAGCACCAAAAGCTCCCAGTGGGGGGTTTGGGAGGGGATCTTAGCAGTGCAGCACTGCCCCTCAGTCTGCTGCTACACAGAGTCTTGATCCGCGTGGTTACGGTGATTCTATAACCAGAAATATATATGCGGATATTTTCTTAGGGTGGTGACTTTACGCGCCACAATGGCACTGGTGGCAAATCCATTTATGGGGAGAAGTTTGCCGATGAGAATTTCATCCTGAAGCACACAGGGCCTGGCATCCTGTCCATGGCCAACGCTGGCCCCAACACGAACGGCTCCCAGTTCTTCATCTGCACTGCCAAGACCGAGTGGTGAGCATGGGGAGGGGGCGCGGTGTCGCACTGCAGTGACCCTGGGGAGGAGGTGGTGCCCCCCCTGATGCCACCCACACTTCTCTACAGGTTGGACGGCAAGCACGTTGTCTTTGGCCGTGTCAAGGAGGGGATGAACGTGGTGGAGGCCATGGAGCGCTGCGGCTCCAAGGATGGCAAGACGAGCAAGCAGATCACCATTTCCAACTGCGGGCAGCTCTCATAAACCTGCGTTTCAACGCCTGACATTCCACTGCAGCTCGGGCAGCTCGCCTGGCGCAGCCCCCCCCTCCCCTCCTTCGTGCTCCTGACTTACTGCTGCGTTTCTACTGGGTCTCGCCGCATGTGCACAGTCCGACCGGACTGCAGAGTTACGTTTATGAGTCTAAATAAAACGAGTTAAACCACTGCAGTGCTGTTGTTCTCTTGGGATGGGGAGGAGGGGAGTGGGAATCCCTATGGGATCGGGTCCCCCCCCTTCCTGGTGTGAAGTGGCTCAGTGACCTCAGTAGGGGCCGGGGTGTGGGGTGTCTGGCTGTAGCATCCTGCTGTGCTGCTGAGCCTTGTGCGCTCAGTGAGGCCCCCCTGTGCCGTTATTGTGCACAGCACCCCCAGAGTCACGGGGCTGCAGTAACGCTCCACTTCCTATTGTGGGGAAACTGAGGCACGGGGCCTTGGGCTGCTGGAGGACCCCCACACAGGGCGTGTGAACAGGGATAGCTCGCGCTGGGGAAACATTGCAGGGAGTTGGGGCAGAGGGAGTTGGTTCCCCAGGCTTATTTTGAGCAGGGGCAGGGGAGAATGAAGCATGCACCCCCCTTAAATCTAGGCATGGAAGGCGTGCCCCCCACTTTAGCATTTGCGGGGAGGTCCACCCCTCCGTCTTCAGTACAGGAGGAGGTCTGCATAGGGAGGATTTAGAGGCATCAGCCTGCGCTGGGGGAGCAACCTGAGGGGCTTCCAGTAATCCCAGAGTGGAGGGTCGCAGCAGCGCCCCAGTGCTCCCAGGTTGGGCGGTACTTCGCCTGGGACTCCCCCAAGATTTGGAGAATTTCCCCGTTCCCGGCAGGATCCCGGCGCGGTGCTCCGGAGCTCCCCGCACACCGCAGGTGCGGACGCGGGCTGCAGCGGCGCGGCCCGGAACTCTCGTTCCCCGGAACCACTCAGCGCGGCGCAGTTCCCAGCGCAGATGAGCAGCGCGGCGGACCGGAAACGGCGCGACGTGCGGACCGGAAGCGCGGGCGGGCGGGCGGTTGCCGTGGCAGCGGGCCGGGGCCGCCATGGAGGCGCTGACCGAGATGTACGACCAGGCGCTGCTCGGCATCCTGCAGCACGTCGGCAACGTGGACGACTTCCTGCGCGTCCTCTTCGGCTTCCTCTACCGCAAAACCGATTTCTACCGCCTGCTCCTGCGGCCCGGTGACCGCCTGGGCTTCCCGCCCGGCGCCGCGCAGGCCATGGCCCTGCAGGTACCCGGGCCTCGGTCTCCGCCCTCGGTGCCGGTGCAGCGTGCTCGTCGCCGCGTTCCCGTGGGTGTTGGGGCCCGGAGCGCCCCTTGGGCGCGGCCCCAGGCCGGGGTGAGGCGGCAGAGCGTTGCTCCGGCGTCCTCCCGCGTGTCACCCGGAGAAGCGTCACCTCCCGCCCGCTGCGGGTGGCTGGGCCTGGGCACGCAGCTCCTCATGCTGCAGGACGGGGAGAGCTGCGTTTTCTCTCTCCAGGTGCATTTTGTCTGCCCGAAGCAGGCAGTTCTGGCTTTAAACGCCGTGATCCCCACGTACCATTGCTCTCCTTCATCTGCACCAGCTGAGGGAGCTCACAGCCGCCCTGGGGGGCTGCCCACGGCATGTCCCAACCGGTGGCACTGCTGAGGAGCCGGCAGCCCCTCGCAGAGACAGCAGAGCCCTGCAGCCTCGTCTCTCTCCTAAGAGTGCAGGTGTAGGCAGTGGGCTGTGTGACATCCACAGCCCGAGGGACAGCAGTAAGGGCCCCAGGCACATGCTCCTCCTCTCCTTGACAGCCAGCTTTGTTCTCTTGCAGGCGTTCAAAGTCTTTGAGCGGATGGCCCGGCAGGATGATGAGAAGCGGCGCCGGGAGCTGGAGGCAAAGCTCCGCAAGAAGGAGGAGGAGGAGGAAGCTGCTGCCTCCGCCGAGAGGGTGAGAGTGGCCCCGGCCGCCCATGAGGTCGAAGTAGAGACAACGGAGGAGGCCGAGCCCTCGCTGGATGCAGGGGGTGCGGAGGGGCTGCAGGATTCACCCACGACCCCGGCAGCTGCCAGCCCCGTGCCAGCAGAGCCCCCGGGGGCGGCTGCCCCTGCGCAGCCCTCGCCTGCCGAGCTGCCCACGTAAGGTTCTCCCTTGTGCTGCTTTCCTCGTCCCGCTGTCAGTGACTGGCAGGGTGGGGGGAGGAGGGTTTGTTTGTTTCCCTGTGGGAGGCAGAGCTGTGTTCTGTGCTGGGGGTTTGGGGTTTCCTGGCTGTGCTGAGGGCAGGGGAATCGTCGTGTCTCTGTGTGCTGGAGCTGTGCACACTGGGGTTGCTGTTCTTGGGGGCTGACTGCAGTGGCTCTGGGAAATCCAGATGCTGTCCCACAGCCTTTTCCTCCTGGAAACTTGGGGTCTGTGCCCCACATGTGTGTGGTGGGAGCTCTCAGAGCCGGATGATGCTCTGCAGGTCACTCTTGTACTAAATATCCTTGTGGGCAGGTGGCAAGACCAGCATCAGCATTGGGTGCACACAGTTTGGGAGCTGCAGAGGTCTCTGGCCCAGCCTTCAGCTCAAAGCAGAGCCAGCTTTGAAGCTGCATCAGACACTGCACAGAGCTTTATGTACTCTTTCACCAGACTCAGTGGCTTTCAAGCTGGACTAAGCAGCCTCGTGCTTCAAAAATGTCCTTGCTCCAAAGTCCTCCCAGTGTGTCTGAGAGCTGCTGCCAGCCAGCTTCCCTTCCCTGCCAGGGTGAGGTGGCACAAAGCTCTTGGGTTCTGTGCTGATGTGTGACAGCCCCAGGTCCCGGAGGGGCTGGGATGGGATGGGATGGACAGAGAGGAGAACGGAGTGAGAGGGGAAGGTGCCCAGCAACTTGATCAGGTGGGAATGAGGAGCAGGTCTTGTGCTGAGCTCAACCAGCCTGACCTGCGTTGCGTGGGGTAAAAATAAGCCAGAAGCCAAAAGTGGTATCACCCGAAAAGCCACGTTCTGTTGTCATGTGAAGGAAAGATCGTCCCTGGGGCCGTCAGTCTGACACCTTACGGAATTAACGAGCCAAAAAAAGCCCTGCTGGAGCCGACAGAGCTCTTCTGCCTCGCCACGGCTGCGACCTGCGTGTCCCCAGCCCGGGTTGGGGAAGGGAAGGGGGCAGCGCGGCTGCGGGACGCAAGTAGGGCAGAGCGGGCAGCGGGTTGTGTGCAGTTGGCGCGTGTGCCGCTGGGGGGCGCCGGAGCCCCCCGAAAGGCAGCCGGCATCCAGGGCGCCCCGACGGGCTGTTAATAATTGAACCAGCTGCTGAATTCTGCGCAGCCCTCCTGAGCAAAACCCCGAGCCGCGCGTTTGGATGCGAAGGGCGCATGAATAACGTGCAGCGCCAGCAGCAAGAATGCAGAGGAGAGATTAAACAAAAATATTTTCCTTCTCCCTTCCCCCCCTCCTCAACCAGTAAAGCAAACCATCGCCACCCAAATCTATATAAAAACTCGCTCATTCTGTCAGCCTCGCTGCTGTGGAAATGTAGGGCAGGTACCAGCCCAGATCTGCCAGCTCCCATCAGAGCCCGCTGCGCTCCTGGGCGCCTTGGGATGGGAGCAGCTTTCTTAGGGCTGCAGGGGAAAGGAAGAGCAAAGCCAAGCCTGTGTCATGCTCGGCACGTGGCTGCCTCATTCCTGGGCAGGTGCCTCCCTTTCCCCACCTGTAAGTGGGGCGCTGTGGCTCCCCTTTGCTGTGGGGCTGCCCCGTGGCTCCACTGAGGACCACGCGTGCTCCTGCCCTCCCTGGCTCATTTCGACTCGATCCTGCTTGTCCCACACAGCCTGAGCTCAGCTCCGAGCTCAGCACACCTCCCCACCCAGCGCCCTCCCCTTCCCCCAGCTTGGAACCTGGCCTGCATACATTTGCCACGCAGCATTTAAAATAGAGCCCAGCAGCCCACGTGTGGCACTGCGCAGCCTGGCCTCGCCGCTCTGCTTCCTGCCATCCCAATGCTTGCTGCTCCCAGCCCCAAGCTGGGCTGCGTTCTCCTGTCCTCACTGCTCGCGGCCTGGAGTGAGGCTGTGGCAGCTCTGTGTCCCCTCATTGCGCCGCCTCAGTGCTGGGGCCACGTGTGCTCCAGGCTGGCAGCTCTGTGCTGTTTGGGGAGGCAGGAGAGGAACCTGCAGAGAGCAGGTGGGATTTTGTTATCAGAGAAGGGAATTCTCACAGAGAAGGGTGGAAGGACGCTGAAGTGTCCCCAGAAAGGTGGTGAGCAGGCAGAAAGCACAGAGCTGCTGGAAGCAGGCAAGGGGTGAACATGTTTGAGACCTGCATCGCTGTCCCTTCGGCCGGACCTGCAGAGCTTTTTCCTGTGCTCTGGGCAGGAGAAGGCCCTGCATCGTGCCAGCAAAACGGCACCACGACGCATCCACCCATCTGCTGAGGATCCTGCTGTCCTCAGTTGCGTCCACCACGGAGCGTCTCAGGCTGGAAGGGACCCACAGGGGCCATCAAATCCAACCTTTCGCTCTGCTCTGAGCACCCAAACCCAAAGTCTGGGTGTCCCAGTGCTCCTTGAGCTCTGGCAGCTTGGGGCCGTGCCCGCCGCCCTCTGGTGCAGAGCCTTTCCTCACCTCCCCCCAGCACTGGTTCATGGCTGCAGCCCTGGGAAATTTCCATCCGGTCCCATGGATCCCATTCAGCTCAGCAACTGCTTGGCTTTGCCCAAAGCCCAGATGGATTCTTTTCATTCCGAGGTGCCCACGAGATGCGTTCCCTGTGCGCCTTCATTCTCCTCAGGGTGCTGGGCAGGGGAATTTTGTCGCTTCAGGTTGTGGGACCACGGAGAAGGGGCAGTGCAGGTGCTGGCACTGAGGACGGCTTTGTTGGAGTGGGGGCTGCAGCTCCATCCCTGCGAGCTCCATCGGTCCCAGGCCCGGCCTGCAGCCCTGCTGCTGACCAGGGGAGCGGAACCAGACGAGCGCTGTGAGCTGCGTTGGCTCCCATCCCCTCAGCTCTGCCTGCCAGGCTGAGCCCTCGGAGCCGCATTTCTCGTGGGTTTCTTTTCTTCCTTGAGACTCGGCCCCGACAAACCTCATTGCAGCTTCCACCTCCCTGTTCCTGGATGCTGGCAGTTCCGTGCTGCTTGTCCCGTTCCCCCTTCAGCTCCTTTTCAAACGAGGAGCCCTTGTTTGCTTCACCCCGCCTCATTTGAGTATCTCTGTGCTCC